TATGCTTTCCTTTCCGCCCAGAATGCTCAAAACATTGACGAAAAGTATAAACCAGCCTTACGTTCCGGAAATCGAGTAGCGAATTAGGGAGAACTTTATCTCCGGAAACTGCTTAAGACCGTCCCGCGCTCGAACAATTTGTAGACGTCCTTCCATGTTCAGGTAGTCTTATGGTTAGTCTGGCTCACAGTCTCTAAGATTACCCCACTTTCGCGGTTTCACAGTTAAGTAACGAAGGGGCTGAGGTCCTCATAAGTGGCAAATCCTGACGGTTCCTTGGTTGTCCCGCTCACTGAATCAAAGGCTACTTTCTTCGCAAGTTCAGTTTTTACTCCATGTTTTCTTTGTTTTTTTTACGGTGGTGACATGGTTTTGACATTGGGTGACGCGAAGGAAGGGTTAGCGAGCCGGAGGCGGCAAGATATCGTTTTACTGGCATAACGAGTAGGTCCGGAGAATACCCACAGTGGGGCCAACGGTTTTTACTGCATTCTTCATGATTTGTTCTTTGCTTTTTCATCCCTGTGGAGTCCCTTAGCCACTGTAGGTTTTTTACTTGAATGCCGCTATCCACGGTATGCATTGGCGGGGTTTGTCTTCGGAATTTCGGGAATATCCGCTGCAAAGGGGAAAGTTCTTATTAGCGATACCGCTCCAATGCCAATTTCACTTTTGAACAGTTCACTTTTCAGAATTAGTGAACATGCACTGATGCCAGGTCTTGTGGTGGAACGATTCGATAAAGATGGACTAGCAGCCGAATACCTGCAAGGGCTCCGAGAACACAAACAGTGAGTCCGACTACTAGCAAGACAGGAGACTGTAAACTCTCCTCATTATTGATTTCAAAGAAATCAGTATTATTATTTTCAGTGATAAACAGAACTACATATGCGAAATGATGAAGCAGGCTGGACTGTTGTGTCATACTCAACACTGGTGGTCTGGGGTTAAGATAACGGTTAGTTAGTGTTTTGTGCTACTATTATAATACCAGTTTTGCGCGGTTCGGCTTAGTGGGGGTACTGAACGGTACTTAGCCAAGCTTGTATAGGCCACCTTGGGGAGACCTGCAAATTTCTATGACCAAAGTAGCTTGCTGGGACGGCAGCTTCGCAGGAGTTTACAACTCTGACCGAAGTGAGACCTCTAAACTCCTGTGAAGTGTTAAGTGTGAGTGTTAGTTAACAGGAACCAACAAAGGGAACTAGCCAAAATGCAAAATGTCCCTCCAAGCCAAGCAGCACCCCAATTTTGACCGGATCCGAGGTACAGACGTTATTGCGTGGCTACGCAGCAAATTCTGCCCTCATTTCCGACCAAAACCTGTTGGAGTTTCGAGTTCAATTCGGAAGAGCCACGTAGCGTCGAGCTCTGTCTGCTTTGCGAGACTAGGACGCGTGGACTCTGGTCGTCTGCGCTCTGCCAAGATTGAGTCTCAGGACGCAAAGACGCAAACTCGCCCTTGCGCAGCTTTTCCCCTCGAACCTAGTTAGCATCGTAAAATCGTTATTAGTCAATTCAGAATGTTTCGGGAACGAACGTCTACGCAGTGCTTCGTGCACCTCGTGCCACTGGGGTAGAGGCGATGGTGTTCGCTGTGGATCTCCATCAAAGAGAAGCGATGGCAATGATTGATGGCGTACGCGGCGTTTGCAAGGCGTGAGTATCTTTTGCAAACCTGTATGGTCTTCATTTGGCATCAGTTTCCCCCATGAATTCCAAGAAATTTGAATTTATGACACCATTCATGATTACCTTGATGACTAGAGGCCCTCCCGCTTATTCGCAGCGCATGACAACTTGAGGAGTAACCACTTGGTTACACAAACTGCTTTTAAAAAGAAGCCTAATGATCTTGTGACTTGATTCGCCGTCAAAGTTTGTTTTTCCCATCGGGACATTTGAGTGGCGCTTATTAGCCGCGCTTCGTTGTACCGCACATTTGAACACTTAATTCGGGGTTTTTGAACTGCGTTTCGGATTTTACCGAGTCGCGGCGTTATAGCGTATTGACGCGCGTCATCGCGTAGTTGTGAAAGCTGCGTAGCGTGCCACTGCGCTAATGTTCAACTTTTACCGCTCGTTTTTCTTTAGGCGATCTATTCGCTAGCGTAAGCGAGCAAGCTCGAATACGCCGCTCCTGCGCCTCGTGCTCAATACTCCCTGTTTCTTTTGCTTTTTCCGTTGTCTAAGTTTACTGATAAATACTCTTACGTTTGTACCCAATTTCCTAAGAGATAAATCGCGAATGGTGTCTGAAATAAATTTTTTGATCCTTCCCAATGTGTTCAGGTCGTTATTTCTTACCCTGCTCCTTTTTCAGAACAAATTTATTGGGCACGCGATTTATTTTTTGTATTTGTCGATGGTGGTGCGCCAGGTATGGATGCCTGGTTATCAGCGTATCACTTGGTGCGGCATAGCGCCCTTCATGCTGAACCTCTTCCCGAAATGGGCGGTGTCATCATTGGAGGTGTTGCCATGAAGGTTGGACTATGGGTTGAGTATGAATGACATTCAAGCTCACTTGTGGGCGTTCAAGTTCCAAAGAAACATGGCTAGTGCAATTTCGTTGCGAAGCCATGCGGTAGCGCCATAGATTTGAGGCGGGATGGTATTTCTCTGACCGTGAAAAATGGCAATACAGTCTTGTTCGTTGCGAATTCAGGGGTGGGTCGGGGTGGGTGGGTTTGACGCGGCGCCAGCTCGTCATCCATCATTCTTTAAGCGACAATGTTTGGTGGATAACGGGCTGGCGCCGCGCCGAACCCAATCAACTCTGATTCGCCCCTGCATCTACAGCAAACAAGATTGTATTCCCATTTTCCACAGAAATAGGGCAGAGCAACTCGACAAGCAACTATCTCACTGACAATGAGAGGGCGCGGTCGAGCAGAAAAAGTGTCTCGCACGGACATCGTACGTCGAAGATCACCAGCGAGGGATCGTATTTTGGCTTTGGTTGTCTCTCGGTTTTTCGCGTTTCACGGCAGTTCCTTCCCCACCCGCTCAGAGGCACTTCATTTGGAAAAAAATGCAGAGGCATTTTCACAAAAAAAAACACTTGGAAGAGTGAGCGAGTAACGAAGATGGTAAATAGGATGTGGTATGCGCAAGAGGGTTGTATTAGCAACAGCAGCACGTGCCCTAGTCGCCCCCCCCCCTTCCCCTATCGCTGCCTTCCTAACATTGACATCATAGAAACTATTTCAGAGCCAAACCGGTAAAGCGCCTCCATTCGTTCGCTTGGAAGTGAATCATCTCAACGGACAGTTACCAAACTTGGATTTATTCAACTCTGTGGTTCGTATTGCCGGTTCTGGAAAATTTGGCATCCACTCGATCATCTATGATGTGCGTGATCAGGAACTGGTAAGCTGAGTTTCTCTCATTGAGTAGCATAGATAGCAAAAAATGGGATCCATTTACTAATTGTACTCCAGAATGTATTTTTCGAGCTGGCATGGGTTCTCTTTCGAGCATGTTTCCTGTGGCAAATGAAACTTGACCAGCCTCGTTGCTTTTTGTCGTTCTGAGAAAACTAGGCGCTAGCATAGTTGGACTGAGGGACCACAGAGCCTCTGTGTCGGTCCCTCTAACTCAGGGCATAGACGGCCAAATAAAGGATAGTCTTAGAGCAGACATGGTCTCCATTAGGCCCAAGCCTTGGTCAAGGGAAAAGACACATGCGTAGCCGAACGGTAACCCCTTCTTCCTAACTGGTTTAACGCCTTCTAACGTATCAGAAGCTGCATTACTGTTTTCTGCACTTTGGCACCATTTGGCACCTTCTTGACTTAATCGGGCCTAGTCTTTCGGTTGTAAAGTTCGGTTTGTATAAAGAATTTTGTTAGGGTGGCACCGACTGGCATATGTTGGTACCGTTACGTGCGATGTACACTCAAGCTTTTGTTGCGGTTGAAGGTCTTCATAGTGTGATGGGCAAGTACGGAGTGCAGGTGGGTAACCGTTTATATTTACAGGTCCCTTTCACAACAAACATTTTTGAGCAATAAAAATCAGTCATGAACCTGCAGGCATCAAGCCAGGAAAAGTTCTAAGGGCCACATTTTTG